GTATGATATATCCAGTTGATAGGGTGAAATTGTAAAAGATGAAATTTTAGCAATAATTTTATGTCTTGGAGGTTCACAAGTAAAGAAAAGATTTTATAATCCAAAAATGTATTTTAGAGAATATTAAAAAAAAAAAAAATCAGTAAAGATCTTCAGTTTTAATATCGACAGGAGGCTCTGATGCTAATTTTAGCTTTGTTAGTGACGAACCGTTAGCCAGCGTTGGGGTTCCCAAGACAAAGTGGCACCAGTTTATACAGTGCTTTACCACCTTTGATGAGACTTTTTAATATTTTGAGATCTTGTTCCACCTCTTTCTGTAGTTTGAGGTTTTCATTTTGCAAAAAGAAAATAACTACTTTGTGACTGTTTGCTCACTTTAGTCTGGTTGCTTTTCGGCAGCTGTTCCTGGTGCACAGTCACTGCAGCCTGGCCTGTCTGCTCCGGTTTCATAAGCAGAAAGTGAATGACCTATATACTTCTCTGAGGGAGGGGAAGTCACCTTGCTGGTTGACCAGGAAACAGGCATGCGGCATGCAATGAGGTTTTAATGTGCGACACTATTAAAGGAGTTGAGCAGACACTTAATATGGTAGGCAGACTTTGAAACAGGCCTCGTTTTTTGCTGCTCTTGTTGTTGTTGGCTGGAAATCTTTCCAGGACTGCTTCTCTTGGCTTGTGTTGTCTCCTTCCTAACACCACTTTGTGTTGATGTGAGAAGGCCAACGTACAGAGAAGGATCCAGTGCATTAACATGCTGAAAAACACATCTTGACATGGACTGAATTTGCACACACAAACACTCACCTCAGGTGAAACCACGAGGCCCCGTGCCAGAAAGATCAAGCCAGACAAACACTCACCAGAGACTCCTCTAAGCGTCCTAACAAATTGAATGTGTGTGTAGACGGACAAGAGGGAATTAGATCAGTGGTCGTGATTGTATCTGAGTGTGCTGCTGCGGTACACCTTTCCAGCTCGTCCCCTGGAGGAAATGTGCGTGCAGGGAGCAGAGACAGAGAGAGGATGGGGAGAGAGAGCCGGGCAGCTGGTTTGATGGAGGCTGTACGGAGAATTTTAACCAGTCAATCACCTTGCATGTTATTGATTGGGATGGAAGAGAGGTAATTAGCACAGAAAAGAGGGAGAAGCTGAGGCCACTTTTGATGTTTTGATACAAAGTGTTCTCTCCTTGTACCCATCCACATGTTTGTGTGTTTTGTGTGTCAGCTTGATGGGAAATGCTTTACCTAAGATTAATCTATAACTTTATGGTTCCAACAAACTATGAATACACAGAGCTCTTAAAGCTGCAGTGTGTAACTTTTACACAGATATGTAGTTTTCCATGACTGCACAGTCGTGAAGTTGGCAGCACTGTTCCGAAGTTCCTGGGTTCAAAGTCTGGGGTCTTTCTGCATGGAGTTTGCGTGTTCTCCCTGTGCATGCCTGGGTTCTCCTCCCGCATAGCAAATACATGACCAAAACAGCAAACTCCGGTCTCCCTACAAACCTAGATGTTGGTTTGGTTGAAGTGAACACTGGCACGGTTCAAATGCACATATGAACGCCAAGTGGACTGGAAAATGATCCAAAAGTAGAAAGCGGACAATAGTTCAGGGAATTCTGGGTAAATTCAACCAAAACAAACATGCATGTCAAACGCTACCAGGAGAAATGATTTGTGGTCTTTTGCCTATGACAAAAGATAAATTTGTACTCAGTGAGGTTTTTGTGTTGTTTTCTTCAGTACTTCTTTGTTGCAGCACCAGTTTGACACGAGGCAATGTGAAAACGAACCGCGCCATTGAAATTTTAACAGATGTTGCAATTTTGATCCCCAATTGAAGAGAGTCTACTGGACTGTCGGGTGTGAAAACAAGTTTTTGTTGGATTCCTCCAGGTAAAGACTTTGTTTGCAATCCTGTTCATGATTTTCATGAAGAGGATTTTGTCGTGGAAAGAACGGTGTCTGGTTTGGGATCAACAGGATTTCATATTTGATTTTTGGAGCTGATGTGGTCACATGGCTGTCATGAAACCATTACCTTTTGCTTGCTCTGGAGTGTTTCGTGTTGAATGCAAAGCAGCTGGAATACGATTCATTTACTGATTACAAAGTTCTCAAATGGCAAAAGGTGAATTTCTCTCTCCTGTTCAAGAGTTAAACTCTGTCTCAAGAGAGGAGTTGAAGGACCTTGTCTTGTTTATGGCTGATTGTGGGATGGAGGAGGTGATAAAGAGATGAATCAGGGCTTTGCATGCTCTGTCTGTCTTGGTCTATCTGCTCAAAAAAAGAGTAAAGACAGAAAAGGAAGTTCTTAATTTTCCAGTCCGTTTGCATTTTGACCCTGATCTATAATCATAAGTCACACAGGGTGTCTGTGCATCCTTAAAAAGTCTTACAATATCATAAATTCAATAGAAAATACGTAAGTTGGCTTCAAATATGTAACTCAGAGGTCTGGAATTTTTATATAGTCTGACTATTCAACCTATATTTCATGTATTTTTTTCTTGCAGGACTTCACTGTTAGAGAAAAGTTTGAATCACAGTCAGACTTCTTCATTACGAGGTGGTTGAGGCTACCGCTAACTGTTAATGAGCCTTTTCAAGCTAGCTTACTAGTTTTTTATGTCTATCTTTGGTAAGTGCAGTTGGCTGGAAAATATTTCTTTGTCATCGCCTTATTTCTGTTCCCAAACCGTACAATGCGAAAAGTTTGGCACAACTTTATAAAATATGTTATTTTCTTTTGTATATTTCTGTTGGGTTACAGTTCTTATATTTCATATATAACAGTCTTAAAAGAGACTGACAAAATGAGCTATTGCCGTAGAACCAAACATTTACTGGACACTGATCTACACTCTAAGCACTGCTTCGTCTGCAACCTTGTCTTGAATCAGTAGGTGACCATGGAGAGAGTTTTCTGAAATATGCATGGATGTATCAAGCAACAAAATGTCAAAAAATGTTTACTTTATCTTCTCTGGCACATTATGTCAATAAAATATTTTGAGTTTCCAGAGACATTTCTGTATGAGGAGGATGAAGCTCTAAATCACCAGTAGATATTTTTCTACCTTCAGAAAACAGTCATCGTTTTTATAAATCACTGCTTGCTTTCAGGAACACTTTTGAAGACTACATCCTGTGATCACAGATAATTACTGCAGCCACAAAGTTACCTTGAAACTTTAATATCTGAAAAAGATCCAGAAAATCCTTCCCTGGTTATGAGCTTTTTACGGTTGGACTGAGGCCAAGTGAAAAACACTGTCCCATGGTCAGATGATTAAAAATGTGAATTTGTTTTTGAAAATTATGGTTTGACGTCCTCTCCAGCTAATGGGCGATGAACAAGTGAGAAAGAATAATATATAGGGGTGCATTAGTGTCAGTGGTTGGAGATGTTATCTGTAAAAGCACCTTTAAAGCTGAATCACATACAGGTGTTACAGCAATTAGAGCATCTCATAATGCTGTCAGGTTTAGTTGTCTTCATTTTCCACAAATTCAGGTTCCTCTTGAAGGCTAAAGCTAATGGTTAGTCAGAGCACAGCCACTCTCAACCATTAACTAATTATTTTCCCTCTTCTTTTAACTTTTAACTTTCCACCAACAGGAATAATCCTGCATCAGTTCATTTGTTTCTCTTTGTGCATTTGCTCTGTCTTTTCAAACCCCAGTTGACTGTGACGGCTGCTCCTATTGAGCCATGTTCTGGTTGTGATGGATCCTTCCTGTTAAAGGGGAGGTTTCCTCTCCACTGTCGCCACATGCATGCTCAGTATTAAGGATTACTGGAGACTCAACAACACTAAGCAAGCGCTTGTCTATTGTTGCTACGTCCAGGAGCGAATAGTGCAAGTCAATGACTCGATGCAATCTGCTGGATTTCCTTAGATAGAACTTTTTCAACTTATAATTAAAAAAAAAAAAATCTGGAAAAAAAAAAAAAAAAAAATGACATAGCAAATGATGCTTTGTAGGAGACTTATTTATTTATTTTTTATAGAATTTGAACCGGGTAAGGCTAAAACTTTGCCACTTGAAGAATTCTCGGTAGAACAAATTTGCATGCAGAGATTTCTTTAAATTGCATCTTAATTGTAAAATGTGTATATATTTTATGTTCAGTTTTGAAATCATCACAGCTCTGAATACAATTTGCCTGTCTGTGAGTATATATACTCCAGTTAGTTAATCAATTACTGAATTAGTTGACAATTATTTCCATAATCGGTTGATCGCAATTAATCAGGTAATTTTTTCAGCCCTTGTTCTAACAGACTGTGTAACATAGTAACATAAGAATCAAATTAATAATTTATGAAAATATTAAAAAGGCTTCAAGAATCAGCAACTTTGATATTTGACACTCCATCACCATCTAGACATTTGTCTTATTTGGAGGAAATCCTCCCCAGATATTAAAAATGCAGTCAGGACAAAGGATAAATGTTTTTAAAGTAAACGCAGCTATGGATCAGGAAATAATTCAACACATCCATCAGTTCAGTCACCTCTCTATTGATTGTGAATGAGAAAGTAGAACAGTCCTGCCATATCACAGAGAATGCTGTGCAATCTTTGATCTTTAATAATATTTCGTCTTTATTTTTTGTCCATTTTACAACATTTTTTTCCAGTAATTCACAGATTTCACTCTGAAAAAGGTGACAAGTGGTTCGGTTTAGGTTTGACATCCTGTTCCGTGTCTCACTGCCTATTGAATTTAAATAATCTCCCCTATAATTCTGTCAGCGTCATCTCTGTAAGCCCAGTGGAGCTATAAATCAGAGGATCTCAAAGTCCCTTCTCTCTCTCCTCCTCTCTCTGTCAAGAGATATCTTTATGGCCTGCGACATCGTGCTGCTGCTGTCGATTGATTTGCAAAAATTAAGGCAACAGTCAGTCAGGAATTGGTTGACATCTTTAATAAAGTCCTTCGTTAATATATGCTCTAAAAACATTTTTCTGTGTGTCCTTTCAGCTCAGCACTCAGACAACCTTCCTCAACGGCCAAAGTGTGCCTGGTCTGTGGAGACGAAGCGTCCGGGTGTCACTACGGTGTGGTGACGTGTGGAAGCTGCAAAGTGTTCTTCAAAAGAGCCGTGGAAGGTAAACCTGGTTTCCATCTTTACACATATCATCACTGGATTGAGTCTTTTTTTGTTCGGTGTTGGTTCATTGAGAGAATTAAAAACAAAAATAAATAAAAAAATGTAATCAGAAAGTAATACCAATACTACTGTGATAAATTGATGTTGTAATTTTGAATATTTTAATTCAGATCACCTCAGAAGTACTAGTGCTGCTAATCCACCTCATTTGCTTTTGCCACTTCTCTTCAAATGCCTTGTTTGGGTTAGGGAGCTAAAGATGATTTGAACTTCTCTCTCTGCTCTTTGGTTTTGCTCTGCATCCATCAAGCTTCTGTTTCAACTCCTTTGGGATTTGGGGTCATAGGTCAGGTATTACCTGAGCTTTGGGGATGCTAATAAAATTATATAACATCATTTGTTGCACCATAACAAATGTCTGAAAGAATAAAAATCCTTTCAGCAGTACAGCATCCAAAACCAGAGTAAATATTTGTCCAAACTTGCTCTAAAAACATTTTTCAATCAAACAAATTATGATCAAAAGTCTAGAAAAGAACAAATCAGAATGAACCTAAGCTGCTCCAATAAGCTGCCACAATTAAAAAATAAGACAAAAAGCCTTCTAAATATATAAAATAACTAAGAGGATCTTGTTGGTAGAAACTCTAAGGAATATGGGAAATTGAATGATAATTTATTAGAAATTATTAAGCCAGTTTTGTTTGTACATTCATCTCCTTAATTCCAGGAGTTTCCGATCATTCATCACCACAGAAAACATTTAGGAAAATCTCTTGTGTTTAGTTAAGTTTTGGCCTGATGTAAAAGCTGTGAGAGAGTATTTGAGCCATACTTATAAAAGAATCAAATTAAAATGAAATCAAATTACAAGAACGAAGTACAAAAATGAGAAGAACCAATTCATAAAATAAAAGTCATAAAATTAAAGGAAAGTCAACATTATGATTTATAAAACACTGAAATCAGAAAATTATGAGAATAAACTGTCGTGAGAATAAAGTCATAAATTACTCAACTATTACAAGACTAAAGTTGTAATATTATGACTATTGTCTTAATACTACAATATTTTTGTCATATCATTTTGACTTTATTCTCGTTATTTTATTTGTCATTTTCTTCACGTTAATCAATTGATCAGTCGATCAATCAACTAACATTTTTATACCATTAGGCAAATTTGGTTGCAATGACAAGAGTCAGTCTTCTCGTCAAACAGGAAACTTTACATCAACAATAAATATAGATATAAATATAATATAAGAATTATCTGGTGCTCAATACTTCAAAAGATTAAAAACCTTAAAAAAACAAACAAATAAAAAAACTCTAAAACAGCTTCCTCATTAGAACAAGAGTGAAAATTTAAAATAAGCTAGAAATAAAATTATATTAAAACTACGCTAAATTGAATTTTGGTAGCTTATGGCAACAGGAACAAAAATGTTTTCATGTCACTCAGCTTTCTATCTGTGGCCTTAATACTCCGTTTGCTTATATCACTATTTTGATGTTAACTTATTTGTCTCTGCAGCCTTTGTCTGATCTGGGTTTACATTTGTTATTTGTTATTATATCACCATTTAAGTCTTTTGTCCAATGTTTGTGAGCAGCTGCTAAACTTGGCCCCACTCCCCGACTTCCTAATCTGCAGGCCTGCAAATAAAACTCTGCTTAGTGCCTTATACAGCCTTGGGCCAGTCCTTTCCCTTCAAACTAATGAGGTGAATATTTAAGAGGTTATTCAGATTTTTTAAGAGAGGTTCTGGAGAAAGCATGCTGTTTTATTCTCCCAAATTATTCCTAAAATAACCAAATATAAGCTTTTAATTTTGGGAGTGTGACCTGTTTTACACCAGCATAATGAAAAACGGGGAAACAATCAGTAGGGAACAGCTCTTAAGTTATATTTAGCTTGGGAAAAATATCAGCCACAGTCATAATGTGCTTTTTATGTTGCGCCTGCTGCCTGAGGCCTTGGCCTAACTCATTTAGATGAGTATTTGAATGCAAAACACATTGAAAACCCCAGCGCTTGTGAGAAGGGGAGAAATGTGTTTCCTGCCAGCGCTTTGGGTGATCTCCTGACCACTGGAGGAATTGCAATAATTCTCAATGAAATCATGCCCTAATTTAATGATATTTACACATTTTCATTGCCGAGACTTGAAACCAGATTATGTGTCTGTGGTTATTAAATGAGACATGCCGTAGCTGCAGCTTCTAGGCTGCCAGGCAGATAGCTCATGGAAGATGTGAACGATACGGCGCGCTAGTCAGGTGAGGCCCTGAACAGAGCTCCCATCTGTGTAATTATAGTATTAAAACCACATTTGTTTCAGCCAAATAACTGCAGCCGTGCAAACTCCGAAAGCAAAGCGTGCAGCGTGGTGATGTCAACTTGTGAGCTGTTACCTCATTTGACCTCTCCACAGCTGCTGCTGAGGTGGAAAAAAACGAGAGGAAAGGCGAAGCAAAGCAAAGGATGAAAATAGTGCGAGAAGGATTTTGCAAAGTGAAGGGAGATAGAGGACGGTGAAACGGATACAGCGAGGGGGTGGGGGGGGAGGAAGGACAAAGAAAAAGTCAGACACAGATGGAGAGATAAAGGGAGGAGGAGCCAGGAGACTAAGTAACAAGGAGAGGGATGGAAAGTGATGTGTCAGCAGTGAGAGGTGTAAGTTAGGACGTGAGGAGACGTTCTGCTCCTCCTCTTTCCCAACTGTCTTCCTGTTTCTCCTCCTTTTTCCTCTAAAAAGCGACCAAAACACGGACTTGGCGTGCAGCATATGGACGGAGAGAGAGTAGGCATCTGCAGATGGGGTGCAATCCAGACCCATGCCTAATTTCTCTTGGCACAGTGGCCCCCAGGAGACACAACTTTTCAGCAGGCTGTAGTTCATTAGATGACTGAATGGCTCACAGTCCTTCACCGCCGAGCTGGTTACCATTCTGCAGACAACAAATCAAATAAAATGCTCTGATTTTGGGAAAACTTGTTTCACTTTTATATGTGGCAGGCAGCTTAGCTTTAGGTAGCTTTCGTATTACAGAGCTGAACCTGAACTCTCCTGCTGTATTTAAATTGAGACCATCTGTTTAGAGCATCTATTGGCCACCTGGGCTTTTCAGCGTCCAAATATAGTCCCACTCAAAGGGATAAATATTCACTCTTTTTAAGTTTGCTCAACAAATGCAGCTAAACCTCACATTAAATCGGATTAAATGTATCCTGCTTTAGGTCAGTTACCATTATCCAAAATTATTTCCGTTTGTTAAATTCCAGAATAATAAAAAAATGATTTTTTAAAGCTTTATATTTTTACTTATTTTCAAATTTAATAGCTTACCATTATTGCCTTATTTTTTCATAGAATGGCCTTATAAATTGGGTCGAACGCTCTGATTATTCTTCTAGTAAAATAATTTTCTGGAGTTTTGTTCCATTCCCCTGACAGAGTTGGCATAAATGCGTCAAGTTATGAGCTTTCTATTCCGTTATTTGTTTTTAGCTCATTTATTATAGGACTGAGATCTGAAGGAACTCAGGTCCACAGATCCTGATGCTGCCACCCCTGTATGTCACAGACAGTTGGGATGGTTTACTGAGGGTTGCATGCATCTTCCCTTTTGTCCATCATCAAACCACAAAGCAGGTCACCACAAATGGAGGATTTTGCCCCTGTGTGAATTTGAAAACTGTCATCGTATCTTTTGTTTTTGTTTAGTTTTTTTTTGGTAATGGCTTCTTCCTCTGAATGGCTTTTCAGTTCATGTTGATACATAGTTCTTCATTCTAGACAGTAGTTGTGCAGGAGGCTCTACTTTTGCTTTTCAAAGATGTGTGATTGTATAATTGCGCATTTGTTTGCAGCCATTTTCACGTCTGAGTGTAAACATTGAGTTGGGCGGTATAGCCAGCTGCAGCTTATTTGGATTTAAAATGACAGAAGAAAGCAGCTCAGTCTGGAAGGAGCTCAAAATAGGCAGAACTGAGCGGAATAACATGTTTAAAAACAATTTTGTGTAAAAAATGTGATGAACATGTGTTGTATCCTTTGTGCTAACCTGTTCAAGGCAGCATAGTAGGTCCCCTTTAAGGGGTGCACTTTATTTTTGCCATGGTTGTTTCTGAATTGGGTATGCTATTTTTAGTTAGTTAGTTAATTAGTTTGTCAGAGCTGGGTGCATAATAATAATAATAATAATCTAGAGCTATTTATAATAGAACATAGCATAATGTCATCACATCAAGACATGCTTAGTAACCAAAGTGTTTGTGGTCAAATCCATGTCTTTTACAGTCTGCATGCTCAAGTGTCCACATCACATTAAACCAATAATCACCCTGAATGTATAATTGATTTTTAAACGTGGTTAGAAAGACCAGCTAGTATAATATGGATCTTTATTTTTTTTGCTATATTTTCCATTATTCATTCATTTGTGCTTCTGCGCTGTCTCCTCCACTTAACAAAAGACAAGTTTGTTGATGTAAAACAGCTGCACTCAATAATCGGCTCCATGTGGAGCACATTTGGAAAGTTCAGTGCCAGCTTATTATTCACATGTCATCAGTGGCTTGGCATGTCTGCTCTTCATAATAACACCAGACCCTGCTTTTAGCTCCTTCTGCTCAAGCCGACGTTCACATTAGATATATTGAACTTTGTCATGGCCTCGCTTGGTTCTACAGTCTGTCTGAGCTGCGGTTTCCATGGCACTCGTGTCAATCCTGCTTTGAACTGGCTCTGCATAAAAGGTCGTCTGAGGACAGTTTCTGCTTGAACGGCAGCTCAGCCGTCCAATAAGGTGATTTTCTGCGATGGATTGCACCGTAGGAAGCCTCCCACCGCTGCCTAAGCTCTTCCGGTTGTGTGTGCAGGACGCTCACGTGACAGCAGTTGGAAAAGAGCCATTTACTCTAACAGAGTTATCTGGATCCCTGCTCTTAACTTGTCTCACACCAGATATTGTTTGAATAGAAAGCGTGCA